ATATATATATATATATATATATAATTTGCTCTGTTACTGCATTTCCTGTAAAATTTACACTCATTATGTTTATCTTTGATAAGATTTTTGCAAAAAGTGTTATTCTGAGTATATAATTAAATTATAAAGTTAAAAGATAATTCTTATAAATTTCTTTCACACAAAAATAAGATATTGTGTGTGAAACAAGAAAATTATATTTTTTCTTTTCCTTATTTCCTTTTTAAATTTATTTCCTTTTAGAACATATATAATTTTCATTGTTAGTTCGATCCATGGTTCTTTTTCTTGTTATAAGAAAACTATAATAAAACATTTTCAATCAAGAAATATCCTCATATCACTAATCAGTCATTCATTGTTATACAATAAAAAAACAGCAAATGCTTCAACTTTCTACAAATATTTAATTTAATTTTCATTTAACATTTTTAAAACAATTTAAAGATTATAAAAGCTTTATTATTTTAATCTCACCTTTTCGTATAATTTGTACTTTTTCTAATTTTTCTATCCATGTATTTAATAATCCGAAACTCTCCTAATGATTTTACAATGACAAAATAAATATTCCTCTACTTAACAAAAAAGTCAAAGTATCTTATTTTTCCATAGAAAATGCATAATTTCGACTATTTCGCTCTATGAATTCATTCATTTCGTAATACGCTTAATAAAATTTATTTTGCATGTAACAAAACAATAATATTTAATCACTTTCACATCTACTTTGTATCGTAAAAAATAGCATCGATGGCGAGCGGCGGCTTGCGCTGAAGCTGCGCGCCGTTACCGGGACGACCAGAGAGGGCTGGACCAGCACTATAGCGCGTTTCCATAGGGAGAGGAAACGAGGGTTGCAAAGAGGAGGTGTGGGTAAGCGCAGTGGTGTGCATCTGGGGGATAGGCCACCGTCGAGAATTTCACAGAGATGGAGTTTCTGCAGAATCATCACGCGGTTAACACCTCCGAGTCGCCGTATACCCTCGGCACAGGTGAGGCCTGAAATTCTCTGTACCTCATGGCAAACATAAAGACAATCACAAAGATAAGCACGAAAATGATCGCAAAGATAAAAACAAAAACGCGGGTGATAGTTGTACAGTGTGAAATTTTCTGGATATACAATTATAACATGTCTTTCAATCAATAATAGTTCGAAAAATGTGAACAATGATTTCTATTTATTGAGTTTTTGACAAATTAAAAAAAATATTTCAGTTCAATTTTATAAGAATAATTCACTTCCGGAATTCTCTTATAAATGTTTCCTAATTAAATATTACGTGTTAGTGACTTCTACAAAAACATGTGACAATTTCTACAAAATACTTAATTTTTTAAACTGTAAGAAATTCGTGCAAAATTAAACAGCTAATTTGTATAATATTATTACTATATATTTTTTATAACAGTTTTTAATGAACAGTTATTTCATTAATAATGTCTATATACTAAAAAAAATATCGCGAGTGTGGCGTGTAAGACAGTTGCCAATATCAAATTATTCCGACTAACTTTTATAAACTTTAATGTACAAATCATCATAATCGCATGAAATTCGCTTAATGCATTCCTATCATGATAAAAAAATAATATATTAAAAACTATAAATGTTTTTTTAATTATAACATATTTTATATTGATTTATTACAATGTTTAAATTATAACAGAGAGAATAATTCGTGATTCAAAATTTATCTGTAATACTTATATTCTCTGCTTTAATTAATTTAATTTATAACAGAGACACTCATAAGTTCCCTCTCAAAACATTGTATACATGTCTTTTCATAATTTGTTTTGACAATTATTGAAAAAACCGTGGTTGATGGAGTAATACTTCTGAACATTTACCGGGATCTTTAATCTTCGTAAAATTTCCGTTTTTAATAGAATAAAACCGTTCAAGAGTGCACATCGCTCAAGAGTTCGCATTGAGCTTTATGACAAAACTATTAAATTGTAAAAGCTGTAATTTACACAGAATGTGTCTTTTTAGTTTGCCAATCTGTGTATAAAAGATCGTTGTGATCGTTGCAGCAATAAAAAAAGATATTTTAAATTTTATGATTTTGACAATTTTTTTTCCATATTTTTCATGGATAAATTGATCGATTTCTACATCAAATGATTGCTTTGTGAATCTGTACTATTCATATTGTATCCATGCATGTCTTTGCTTCATATTTAGTGATATATTTACTTAATATCTATAATAATTTTTATATAGTTATATTAAAAGTAAAAAGTGACATGAGAGAGAGAGAGAGAGAGAGAGAGAGAGATGATTCAAGAGTTCGCATTTGAGAACAGTTCAAAAGTTTACACATGAACAGCAGACTCCGATCATGAATAATATTTTCTAACGGTCTCTATTCAAATTCTAAATCCGGTGAAAATTGGATCTAGTGACAGAGCTCCCATGTTGATTGCGCCGGAATCGATCATCGATCAAAAACTTACTTACTGTGAATTCTGTATGCAAAAATACACTCAAGTACTTATAAACATATCTGTTTAATAAAAAATAAATATTATTTTTACTTTAATTAACATTACTTTTCTAATAAACCACATTTTTTTTTCATAGTACGAACTCTTGTGCCAACTAATGCAAACTCTTTTGAGAAGACATTTGCTCAGGAGTTCACATTTTTTCCTTCTTAGTAGAATTAATCCCCTGTAAAAGCAAATGATAATATTAAATTGATACTTGACAAATTTTTAGTTTAAAGTGTAAGAAATAATTTAAAGCATCTTTACTGTACGAATTTGGGTCCTTGTACAAGTTACATAGCCTCAAAGAAAAAGTGCGCACTCTTGAACGATCTCACCTTATATCAAACTCATTAATTTATTAAGGCGAAAAATTTAAGTAATAATTATGAACGATATTTAATCAGCATAGAATTATTATTTAAAATTTTTAGTATAGATATATTAGCCCAAGCAGAACAACAAGTCATTATAATATCAAAATAATGTCAAAATGACTCCAAAATAATCATTAAAAGTCATTTTTTAATTTTATCATCTCCGATTCATTTTATCATTTTGACGTTATCTCGACTTGTTGTTCTGCTTGGGATAATTATTTCAAGTTTTTTCCTACAAGAACTATACATCCTCTCATAAATAATGTATATATTTTTTTATAATTACTAGTTCTGTTAATTACTAAAAAAACCATGGTTTTTCGTAATTCGTAAACTTCTGAACATTTACCTTATAATTTCTTTAATGCTTCGAATACATTAAATCAAGAAAAAAAATCATTCTACAAGTATCTTCGACAATTCAATACATTTCCTGAATCTTTAGGTTCCGTGGATAGCATCGAGGCAACTATTTCATCTAGCTTCTGTTCTGGATCATTAGGGGTGCTTTCGGGTGACGACGCTCTATCAACTGATAATCAAAACGAAGAGGCAGCTGCCCTTGGCGCTGCTCTGCAGGGCACACTGCGCTTGCAGGACCTGCAGAGTTCGCCAACTAATATCGGTGTTGACCAGAACCAACAATTTCCAACTTCTAGTCAGGTCGTGAGCGAATTCGGTGGTAGCTTTTGGGTTGACGACATGGCAGGTTTTTCTCTACCCCCGTTGGACCTGGACCCTTTGCCTCCAGGATTATTCAGTCCATGCTCAGGAACATACAAGTTGGTTATCAACTTTATTTTTTTCTTTTTTTCTCTTCATCTGTCTCTCCTTTTATTAGTTTTGTTTTTTTTTATTATATGAATATTATCAAAATTTACCTAATGCTTGAAATGATACTTGGAAATCTGTGTTGGATTTATATTTAATTCTATTTAATTAATACGTTAACAATTTTTTTTTAATTTTTATCTAAATTAATTTAAAAAAAATATAATTTGTTAATAAGCACATATAAGGTATTTTATTTAAAAAACTCTGAAATATCTTAAAGTTGTCTTATGCGCTTATTTTACTTGCTTATTCGGAAATCTTTAGAAATTAATATCTCGTTAACTATAATAAACATTGCAAAATAATAGAAGATTTTTCGACTCCAGTCAGTCCGCTCTACCTGCTTAAAAAATTGTATCAAAAAGTTTGGAACACTTTAAACACATACACACATAATTTAAATCAATTAAATAAAGAAGCACCAAATATACTAGACTAGATCTTACAATTAGTGCCCAATAATATTTCTATGTGGAATTTTAAAATATATTTGTTAGTATTTTATACTACGCGCCGAACACAATCACCTAACATATAATTTAATTTTTGTTTATTCTACATTATGCTTTTATTGATTTATAAATTCGACAATTCGATAGAATCTGTAAAATTCAAGACTTCTTTCAGCTGGGGCTGCTCACGTAGTGAATGCGTGCCAAGGACGAACAATGGCGCGAATGGCGAGGGCGTTGCCGATGTTCTTTTATCCCTGAAGCATGCGGTAGTACATCCCGCAAGTCCGACGGCTGGCTACTATACTACTGGCGCCGGTTCCGCCGCAGCTCATCATTACTCGCAGGACTATGTGCAAAATCTAGGCCCGTCGGTTCCAGGTCCAAGTCACTACGGTTCTGCATCCGCCGCCATGTCTGTCAATGTGTCGATGAACATGACTATGAACATGAATATGCATTCTGGGTAAAAATCCTTTATTTTCCTTTTTCTAAATGTCTTTCAACATTTTTATATAATTAATATTTTTAAAAGATCAACTTGAAAATATTTACTTATTAATATTTATTATCACTGATTTTATTCTAATTATTCTAATTATTAGAGGAAAAAGTGGTATTACGACTCTTATAGGTATATATCGCGCCCTTCTTAATGTCTCTGCTATTAGATAAAGAAATAATAGAATTCTGAATAATTATTTACGGAATTATTTGTTCAGTACGCCACCATTACTATATATGGCGCTAATATGCCAATATATAATAACCGGCATTAATTCTAACGCATGTTTACTTTTAAGAATTTCGAAATTTTTAAAGTATATTTTAACATTTAGTTATACTTCCTCATTCTTTTTAAATTGGAGTATATCTATTATCACACGAACATATACACTCCAATGACCGAGTATATTCTTGATTACTTAACATTTATTTAGCTGTACACATTTCGAGTTATGCAAAGCTAAACAAAAGTATAGCATTTTATTAATGTAGTTCCCTAAGCATGGTAACTGCTGACGGCCTCTTATTCGAGGTTTTCATATAAAAATAATTCGATAAGACGATTATAGATATATTGTTAATTGTAGTTGAACATTACATGCATTATCTCTGTAGACTTTTAGTTGTAAGACCTATACGTGAAACAAATTATACGTATGTATGATATCCGTGTCTGTATTTCTGTATGTATGTTTTGTAGCTACGAACAAAGTTATTCGTCAGCGTGGGGCGTGGAACCTCTTCTAAGTCCCGCCCCTCAGTACAGCAATCCGGTGGAGGTGGCGGCGCAAACGACGGCGAGGGTGAATCAAGGCGCGCCGGCCAATAGCGGTCTGATCGGTCATCCCCATTCCCACCCCCAGTCACATCACAGTGGTGCCCGAGTACAACTCGGGAGTGAACACACAATTTGTGTAAATACCACAGGTCCAGCCGCGGGCGGCATCACTCTCGAAGATAATGGCAGACCCAATCTGTGCAGAATTTGCGGCAAATCATATGCCAGACCTAGTACTCTCAAAACTCACCTGCGCACCCATTCTGGAGAGAAGCCATTCAGGTCGGTACCTCCGTATGTTGTCAATGAGAAAAATACAAAGAATTTGCTAAATTTAAAAGAAAGAAGAGAAAGATGAAAGAGATAAAATTTATTTTATCCCATTTTATCTTGTTCTGTTTTATTTTATCTTTCTTTTTTAAAATAAATTTATTTTAGTAAGAGTATAATAATAAAATTGTAATAAAGAATATTATATATTTTCTTTCTATTTTGATATATCTAGTTTAACCCCTTTAAACTCTGCGAATATTATAATGTACATCAAATTTCAAGATATTATCCATTAAAATTATTTAATTCTATCAACATCATCTGAGATCTGATTGTATAATATGTGTTTATGACTTAGATTAGAAAAATAGTTAAAATTTAAAAAAAAATTAATATTTATTAAAATGCGCATAAATTAAATTTTTTTTATCTAGTTCTAATAAAATCAGTCTGAAGAGGTTAAGAGATAAGATGCACATGAAAATAATCAAAATATTAAATTTATTTTTATTTAAAAACATACATTATTTCAAACAGTTTAAATTATACAAAATAATTTTTAGATATGTTATGTATCTAAAAAAGGAGATTGAATGTACTACAGTCCTCTTATATAGATCAAAACATACAATATAATCACATAAGTGTCGAACGAAAATCTATAATATTTTAATAGTAATTGTACAATTACTATTCAATTTTATTATTTACTATTATCATTCATTATTTATAATTTCAGTATTTTTCCTAATATATTCAAAAGATTATACTATAAAACAAAAAAAAACTTAAAAAAATGTTTATTCTATAAATTAATTATGAGTTACTATAATTATAAAA